TCTTCGATCCTGATAGTTCCTTTGCGAGTGGCAGGAAGCGTTTGAAAGAGGAAGAGGTAGCTGCTATCTGAAGATATTGTTTGTCACTGCTTTTTCACAAATTCCGTTGTTACAGTCACAAAAACCGACGCCATCAACATCAAAACAACAGAAGTTATCGTTCGGATCGGCTGTGAAGGGGAAGGAGAACGCCAAGTTTGTGTTTCTATCCTATACATGATTTGCTTGTGCTCTGAATTTTGGGTGGAGGTAAGTCGATATCTCGAAGTCAGATTAGGCGTGGCTATGGATTTGACGTGGCCGTTGCCGCACTTGATAGAAGCCGTGTGGATAGGCTGTTTCTAACATACTCCGTTGGATATCAGCAAAGCATGCTGGAAGCAGCTTATCCGCGCAACTTCTATCAAGTGCGGTGGCCTGCCACGTCAAACCCATAGACACGCCTAATCTGACTTCGAGATATGGAGTATATGTAGAACATATGTGCCTCGTTGAATTTCAAGTATCTGATCTTTCTCCATCTAAGGGTATTTGGCCATAGGCTCATCTCAGGAGAGAGGGTAATACCGTCAGTGTCTGTTGACATTCCTATCAGTCTAGTGGTATAGTGACATCCTCACCAGTCTACTTTGGTTTACTTTTTCTATCAAACATCTTCGATTGTCATGTGCTTGCAGAACTGCTTATTCTCTATGGATGGAGTGCAATGAAGAAACACTCCATGGAATGTTCAGTGGAAATCCGGAAGATTTCGTGAAGTTTTGTGCCCAGCAGTTCCGAATGCTCCCAGCAATCGAGAAGAAAGTTAGTTTTTTTTTTTTTTGAAGTTTTCCGTTCCGTCTGAACCATCGTGTTGATCCATTAGGTTGATCGCAAACTACCCCTTGCAACGTTTGATCGACCCGTATCGTCGTCACCAGTGCCGATCATTGGGGAACCATGGAGCGTGCAAAATCCCCGCATCCATAGCTTACCGCAATCCGTCTTGCATTCAGAAGCCACAATGCCGTTAGATCTCACTTCGACAGAATGTAACTGCCTCCCCCTCCTTCACAATTCGCCCCATCCAAAGGTAGATCATACGAAGAAGTGTAGTAGATATCCACGGAGATAATGCTCTTTAACGTCATGCGAGATCTAGTTCGCCAATTTCGGAAAGGAAGCTGCTTCGTATGGCAGATAACTTTCCTCTAAAGGAACTACATTTATTGAATCGCTGTCGGGCTTGGGGCTCAAAATGGGAACGAATGCATATCAAGTTCCTGCATAGTACTCTAGTCAACCATAATTACGCTATAACTGGACACAAAGTATAATATTTATGCTGTTGGTGACTGATCTACATATATACTCATGAAATTTACGTTTACCTTCTCGAAAAGAACTCCATTGTAATCCTATGGTTCACGTGTGCCTTTTACGAGACGTACTAAACTTATACTTACTTATACCATGTGTTCTTTAAATTCGCTTTCAGATACTTAAATATTGCTGGTCTTTCTTTACATGAATTCTGATCTTTTTTTAAGCTGTGTAACATGTTTTTTTTTCAGGAGTGGAAGGCTCGAGCTGAGAACTTCCATCAGTGACAGCGTCTTAATCAATATGCCTTGTTCAGTGATACTGCACCGTAGTGATTTTGGGCATTCTCTTCTTCTTTGAGTGCTCTTCCACGTGAGGAAGTTCGAATGGGGATATTGGCTAGTCTTCAATAACTTTCCATTATTTTCATCCTTGATCCTTGCAAGTGAGTATTGCGTTCATTTTGATCGCCCATTCGTTTTAAATGTTGTTGAAACCGCGGACAAATTAAGATCTCATTCTCTCGCCATCCATCTAAAATAATCTCTTATACCATCACTATCAGCATCCGTTGAGTCAATAATCATTATCCTGCAGTTTATATGTTGTTATGTTTTTTACGTGCGTGATTATTGCGTGTGCATGTGGCCTCATTGCTTGATCATTTCCAAAACTTCTGCTGTGACTCCTTTTAATGTGTAGGGGTTCATGTTATTTTACAGAATTTAAATCTTACTGAACGATGTGCTTCATTAAAGTATTCTTGGGCGTTGTTTTCAAGGAAATGGTACATGTCTGAGCTCTTCAAGTGGGCAAATTATGCTTTATTGTCTGAGAGCGCTTGAGCTTCGAACCTTTGATCGCAGCATCACTGCGATCAAAGTCTCTAGGCGCTCATGGTCAGAGATTTTTGCACGACAATATCCACCTGGTCCAATGGTTCCGCTACTTTGTCCCACGGACACCGATTTTCTTGTCGATATACAACTTTCGGTGTGTTTTATGGGCAACTAATCGTTCTAGGAGCAACGAATGAACGACTAGTTTGGATTCCTCACCAGGAATGGGTCATTTGGTCAACCCGGCCATTTGAAATGAGATGTATATGTGTATACGCGCCTTGGGACGCTGAGCTCAAATATGCGTTCCTTATCTGCTGAACTCTTCTCTGAAAGGAATTATGAAGCAGAAAAGCGCAGAGGCTGTGGTCGAGGCTCACGAAAAAGAGGTCAGGGGATCGACTCCTTGGCGAGCTTGTTCTTTTGCCGTTTGCAGTAAGATAGCTAGGAAGATCCCTAACATCGGTAATTGAACATGCTTGCGTATAGGTAAAAGTACAAAGAACAAAGAATTTAAGGGAGGGCAGTTAATAACGTGCTTGGGCGGCACCGCTCCTCACTAGCGCCAGGCCTTTTGCTTTGAGGAAGTGTGATATTCGTAATCAGGTCGGTCCTCAGGGCAAACTTCTAGCCAATTCTGAAATTTTTGACCTAAGGCTGATCAATTCAATAGGTTAGATGAGTTTGTTCGAGACGAAATGTCCGCGATCCTTTGCGCGATTTGGCGCGATTTTCTCGATTTTTGCGATTTGCGCACATGGCGCGCAACGGGTCACTGGAAATCGCAAGTGCCGCCATCGCATGCATTGCAAAGGTTTTCTTTTTTTGTTTTTTTTTCTATATCTCTTTTTTTTGTTCTCCTGCCATCACTTCTGCTTGATGGTTATGGTTTAATGGAAGACTGCTCATGATTCCACTTGTTTCATATCCAGTGTTTCAATTGTTCAAATGGGGCACTTGCAATTTTTGTGATTGGTTTGGTTTGATTCCTGAAAAAAAAAAAAATAGGAACGATTCAAGAGCATTTCAATGAACTAATAGACATTGAACATGAAACAAGTAGAACCACAAACATTCGTCTTCCAATCTTTACTGCCAAGCAGAATTCGCAGCAGGATTAAACAACACCTCGCAGTATTCATCGGGCACTTCCAACTCCTGTGATCCATCGCAGGTTTCGCGAAAATCGCGAAAATCGCGCAAATCGCGAAAATCGCGCAAAAATCGCGACTCTGACACCAGCTACTTACTCGCTATCCACCAATCCATTACAAAAGCCTGGCACTGGAGTAGAACAAACCTTCGAAACACTCTTCAGAATAGACAAAAATTGTGTCTGGCTTGCCCGTCTGCATCATCCGAAGATTTGCAAGGCATTATTCCCAAATACAACCCCTTTTTCTCCTCTCCCCCGTCGTCCATGATTGGTCAACCAAAAAAGTGGAGTTTGAGGAGTGGTAATCCCATCACTGCTCCGCTTTTTCTCAATTACTTCGTGACCTCAGGTTTGGCGAGAAACTCGTTTCTAGGGGTATTTTGATCCTCTGAATACGAATATCGCACCTACTTGCCAAGGGAAAGCCTGGTACCTGCACTACGGGCACCATGTGCACTAACAGACAAGTAGCGCTCGAGCCTAAGAGAATTTGCTTGCAAACTCTTTGTAGTGTAGCATCGGGCAACCATTGATAATATAACGGATTCAAAAAGCTTTTCAGCTATGTTGACAATACAAACCACCATAAGCCCGGAAGGAACCACCCGTAAGCTCTTGCTTTAGAAGCAACTGCGCTACCCTCACCATATCGGACTGATCGGTACTTCCTTCGAGACTTTTGTGATGGAGCTAACATGTGATTGCAAGCAAGACACTGAAAATCAAGGGCGGAAACAAAAACCCTCCGTAACTCCTTTTAGAGAAGAGTTTAGCAGATAGTGGAAAGCGAAATTTTTATGCCGTCCCATATGCGTACAGAAATGTGCCAGCCACACTTCATTGTTCGGCCCTAACGACTTTCCTGGCTACCGGACCGCGTGAATTGTGATCCAAATCCGTGCATGTGTATGGACCTCTTGTGTCTCCATGGCTTCTGCCATATGTAAATTAAAGCAAAATTGACCGGCTTATGTCAAATTGCAGTCGCAGAACAAAGCGCCGCAGCACAAATGAATGGGCTCCGGAGCAGGGTCAACCTTACGTTGTTACGAGTAACAACGGGGGGGGGGTCGTACCTGGTTGAGTTTGTGGGGAGGGGGGGTCGTACCCACTTTAGTCGCTCGAAATCACGTGTGGGATTGAGGTGAAATTTTGCCGTTTCAGAGTGTGTATATACCCCTCCCTCCCCCCCCCCCCCCCCCCGCTCGACGGCATTTTTGGAGGAAAAAGTGGGCGGGGTTTTGATGGAAGATGGAGATGGTGGAGGTAGGGAAAAGGGGGTCGTATCAAATCCACCTTGGGGGAGGGGGGTCGTAAAATTTTTCGAAAAGTAACAACGATAGGACAGACCCTGCCCGAGGGCAGCCTGTTTGCTGAAGAACACTTGCTTACCATTGCAGAGCGTTTCTAAATTTCATGTTCGTTGTTGAACAGCTGTGTTGTTATATCAATTCCTTCTTTCGCACTATAAAGGAAAGTGGACTGAACGGCGAAAGAGAATGAAGCAATCTAGGGAATGATTTGTATATTTTCACATACCCTCAGCCCCTTGACCTGGAGGTAGCGCTTCTTTCTGTGAGGCACAAACGGTAAAACCTTTTGCCCTGGCTCTCACCCGCTCTGGAAGGAACCACCCATTTTACGAATGATTTTGAAGCACGAACAGCACTGATGTTCATGCTCTAAGATCATTAGCCATGAGATTCGCAGTGCTGACTCTTTAAATACGAGCCTTTCTCTGCCAAAAGAATAGCTCCTTCCCATCTGGTTCAGTACAAAACCATACACGCGTTTGCTGGAGTCTTGCAGTGCAAGAGTCATTTGGAAAGAGGAAGAGCTTCTCGTCACTGGATGTGCCATTTATTTTACAGTGTTTTCTCAAGCAATCGCTCGCGTTTCTTATGGGCGCTTTGACACATGCATCCTAGATCCTATATCTATTTTGCAGTTTGTTATTGGAATTCATTTGACGCAAAAAAAACAAAACAAACCATAACAGAGGATGTGAACTCCGCCACGTTGAACAGTGAAGAATGAAATTTATTATGCAAAATATTTACAATCACACTTGGCAGAAATAGCAAAATTATCCAGCGGTGACATCTTAGGCAATGTAACCTGAAGCAGGTGAAATTTGTAAGGAAAGAGTAGTATCCAAATTGAAAGTGTCATTTAGAGGAATGGTTGATGTCCTATATCGATAAAATATCCATTATGTTTTCCGGAGAGTTGTTGCATCGCGATATCTGCGGCGTTTTAAAAAACGCAGTTAACAGTTAACAAACGAAGTCATATCCATTATGTTTCGGAGAGGCTTTTCTTTTATTTCGTTAACCTTGGGCTAATCTGAACTTTATTTACCTTCAGATAGAAATAGATATATAAGGTCTTTAGCTTATATTATTTCAGCATTATGATGTATATTCTTTTTTACCACCTTGTTCATGTTTTCACACATCTACCAACTAACAAATCTCATATTTGAGGGGGGGGGAGGGTGAGGATATCGGGATATGTCTCTCGAAAGATTGGACATTCTCGGAGAAAGATGGGTCAAGCGATTCATGCTTTTCTTCTGATTCGACGTAGGTGTGGACGTCTCATTCACCCAAGTGCTAGAGGTATGGGCTGTGGTCAGAACCTTATAGTTCTCGCCACAAAAAAGGTGACAGAATCCCACGAACCGCAGCACTCGCAGTCGAAAGTGCGCGACAAGAGCGCTAAGTTTTGCCCTACTTGCTGCAACTGCTGCCACTGTTACTCGAAGCACGTTGTCTGCGCCGTCTCGAACAACGCAGTTCCTCGCATACTCCCTCTCCTCACTGCGTTATGTCTCTCCGTTGTAACACGATTACTTGCAGGAAAAGAAAGTTCACCGTTTTAGCTGGCCTCCGTGGGCCACTTCGCTGTCCCCATATCAGCCAAAAAGAGCAGCTTCATCCCGTTTTGCCTCACTCTCTCGTCAACGCATACTCTTTATACATAATTAACCTTTGCAAATGCAACATGACGCACAATCCCGCCAATGTAAGTAATTCTTCCCCTGTTCACGAAAGGACGCGCGGATGTCCCACGCCCAGATAAACGTGCGCAAAGTAGGAGTCTCCGATTCTTTGTGAAAAGCAGGATGCCTCATATTTGTCAGAGAGCGCAATATATTCTCCAATCAAATCTATGCTTGCGATCTGGAGCGCCGATGAGTGAGGGCTGCTCAGATGATATTCTTCTCCAGCCATCACTGGAGAGTCGGCGCTTCTTACGGGAATATGTTCCGGTTTCCAGTTCGTCCAAG